CTCCCCAGCACTCCCTCTGCAATCCCACCCCAGGACAGGTCTGAGGTCAAAGCCGGGGCAGAGCGGAGCAGACAGATGCGTGTGCTTAAGGCAAGGCAGAGCTGCTCAGCTTCAATGTTCTGCAGCTTTCGAGATTAGCTGTGCGTAAAAAATGTGCCGGCCAGATGATGCGCAGAGGGCCCTGGCTCCTGCACATGAGGCTCAAGCTGGTGTCCAGGAACACACAACAGGATAAAACAACAATGCTCAATCACACTGATGGAGCGGACGTGGGCTCGCTGCAGATGGAGCCTGAGATGTTTCATCCGAGGAACAGAGTGCCAGAGACTTAGTTTTCACACTTGGCAATAACAAATAAACCTCATCATGAAGGAACAAATACTTTCGCAACAGGCTCCAGAGGAAGCGGAGCGAGGACAGAGGGCAGCCACCTGCAAAATCCCAGCAGAGCCGACTGTTTGGGCGTGGGAGCTGCAGAGGCCATCGCCACCGAGGTGGACACTAAAAAGGGCCTTTGCCGTAATGATGCCATCTGCTGGCAGCTCTTTTTTAATGCCTTACAGCGTTGCGATTTGAAAGAGTTTCTGTGTGACACAAGAGGACAGATTTGTTTAGAAACACACAAAACCACAAAAACTCGTGACGCTTTCTGATTCTGAGGTCTGGACAACATGTCTTCTTGTTTACTTACTGGCAGAAAATTGCAACATGATTCCTGGGAGTTATGCCATTTACTGGCACAGGCCACTCTGGGCACTCAGTCACTGCGAGTTATTAAAACTCAACATCAAGTGATGGAAAGGTAAACAACAATCTCAAGTTCTGCAGGATGTTGGATGGGAGACAGCAAAGGCCCGATTCTGCTTTCCACATCTTTGAAATTTTCACAAAGCACGCTTTATTCATCAGCTCTTCATGTCAAAGCAACATTTTTGGAATTATGTTTCCTCTGTCTTCTTACACAAATGAGACAACAAGATTAATGCTGTTCTCAAATTCTACTATGATCAGTACCGTTTGTGTGCAAAAATGTCCAAAGAGTTCTACTATACTGGCTCCTCCTCCTAAAGTGATTACACACTGTTGATGTAATAGTACATTTACCAGACACCAATGAGCCACCTAATTAGATGGTTCTAATAAATAACCTAAAAAAACAGAGGTTAATTTATTGAAATTCGATTCGACAATGTATTTAGTTATTTAGGCCTGCAAATCCCCCTATTGGTCTTCATGGAGCACATAGTGTCTTTCAGTTAGAACTCATTGTTTTCAAGCCAGTTTAAATACATCAGATGAAACCCGACGATGGAGCAGATCTACAGGTTTTATCCAATATTATCTCCTGTCTGATTAAATAACCCCCAGTGGAACTAACATCACTGCCAGTATAACAAATTACAAGGACCTGATTATTATGATCTTTGTGAGAAACCGAATTACAAACGTCTCCAAAGCTATTCATCTAAATAAAAAAAATAACGTTTCTGGTGTGAGAAGAGAAAAACTGCATCTCAATTTTTGTTTAGAAGTCAAGGTATTAAGAGCCTTTTCTACTGAATATAATACTGGAGTGAGATGACTAGAATTATCCAAAAATACCTTCATTCTTGTTCCACTGGTGCGCAGAGGATATTAGAACTTTTGGGTCTGACTTTTTGCTCCTCTGTTGGCCAAATCTCTGAAATATCTTTTTAACATCCAGTGGATTCGTGGAACAAAATGAAACATACAATGTCAATATTTTCAATAAGATTAAAGAAAAAAAATATTAATTTAAAAATGCTTCAGCAGAGATGAGCCAATATTTTTTTGCATACACAGCTGAAACCGAACCTTCATTGGGATTCAACATCCAAAACACGTTGCCATTTCTTGCTCTGTTGTGCAGGACATTTTTTTTCACTGGCCCACTGAGAACACTGTGAAGCTACTTCCTTTTGGCTTCGCTTTACAGAAGCGCACGGCTGCGATGTGAATTTGGGGGTGGAAAAGCATAATGTTGGCACACCTGCAGCAGAGGAAGCACTGCCACCCTCCCAAGAACCAAATATTGAATGTTTGGAGATTACCTTAGCGCTTCAGGAGAATTTTCTCAGCATTTTCTCCTGAATCCACAGGTAAGAAGTGCAAACTGAACACACAAGCATGCACTTCCACACTCAACAATCCCTCACTCTCACTCCACAGATTAAGGCCAGATGGGAACAATGAGATGAGTATGAAGGCTTTTGCAGTGTAACTGAAAACACTCAGCCTTGTTAACACACTCCAAAGAGTTGCTCCATCCATCACTCGCCAGATGTTCTGTGAAGGCTTTTTTTTTTTACTCCTCAAGAGGGACCAGTCCCCCTCAAAATTAATTCACTTCCCATTTCACTTGCGTCCACAACAAAGGCACTCGTGAAAACTAATTGGATAGTTTGTGGTCTTTATGATCAAGCGATCAAGCCGAGGTGCACGTTTCACAGAACAAGAGATGTTGTTGTTTACGGACGCTCACTTGGGACCGTTTGCCCGCTGTGACCCCACTTAATCCTGCCATTAGACCCCAAAGCCTCCCAATCCTGCAGACTTCAATACACTCTGCTCACTGCATTAAGACCCTGAGAGGGATCATTTCCTTGAATAAACATCAAAATCTGTTGCTTTTGTGGCTAATTTCCTTCAGAATTCCAGCTGAGTTATTAGAGAAAAGGCATGTGGTGAAGTGAATGAGGCAGCCCTACACTGTGATCAGGTCTGATTTATATCCATCACATGTGGAGAGCTATATACTATTAAATTCAGCAGCTTCTCTCTAAAGTAGTAAAATATATTGCATGTCTGACAAAAACAAAAAGGTACTAATATACTACAGAAAATAATATATCTACAGAATGGCAGCAATCCCGGCATGAGGGTAAGAGATATATCAGGAAAAACCCTTCAGACTAATTTTGTTAAGCAAGAAAACACTAAATAAAAGCAAAATTCCTCAGACACAAAAAAAGAAAGGGGCCAAAATAAACAGAAACACAAGACAGATTTGCTTTGCTCCCTACCTCTGGCAGGTGCCTAATGGCTGGATCAAGGCACAAACTTTGTTTCTCATGAAGACCCCGGGGAGTACTTTGAGGGCACAGCCTCCCACACGCACAGCACACTTCAAATCTCCATCCAGCTAAAGAGAAAAAAAACTGGGTCTGGGAGTTCCTAACAACACAAATCAGGGAAATGAAGTGTGAGCAACAAGACCCTCCAAGAAATGCTCGAGGTATGTCATTATGTCACCCACAAAGGAAGGTCTATTCCATTTAGGGATGGAGCCACAGGCCATTTGGCCCCCACACAAACGCATCACACCGGCACAACTTGAAGGAGCCATACTCAAATATAGTCTCATTCCTTTGCCAAGTGGTAATGCAGAGACTTTGACCCAAGAGAAGCGATGAAAAGAAAAGGCCACTGCAAAGCTGAGACCTTCAAAGTCAGCACTTGTTGATCCCCGTCACCCAGCCCACCCCCGCTCAGACGGGACACATTGTGATGTGTGTGAACAGATACGTCTCCAGTGCTGACTCATGCCTCACACTCACACGCATGGGACGGGAGGAATTGTTGTTGGTGTGCGAGAAAATAAAAAATAAAAACTTGAATCTTTTTTTAGTCTTTGAGATACAAAATGATATTAAAGATAACTAGTGGTGTGATTGTCGGGGTGTGGGGAGCATCAGCGCAGTGTGTTTGCCACCAGCTAAAATAGACGTGTGACTAATTTAGGGTCAGAGGCGCTCAAATGTATTAACTTATTCATATCAAAGGTAATGACAGATCTCAGAAAAATAGCACTTAAATGTGCAAATTTCAAAATTATTCTCTACATTATTCTCCTATTGTATGGACAGCGGATACTAGACAGGGGCCAGGAAAAGGCAGAACCTTGAGTAGCCTTGTGTTGCCCTCTCTTTACACTGTGGGAACTTGACTTTGTAGTAGCCAGCGCATTCTAAGCCCCATGCATCTTGAAGTACTAATAGCACCTGTCATGGTCATTTACACATGCCGACACACCAAACAACTGCTTTGTGTTCCTCTTCATCCTCCCGCTCAGCTCGCCTCGCGCCTTTGCTCGGCAGGCTTTAACAGAATCTGGCTGAAAAGACTGATGCATGCACATCAGAGGGCTTTGGGAGATCATTTGAGCAAGTACTTCAGTGTTGATAGTTAGTGTTAGCTGAGTCCACTGATTTATGAGTTTGTTTTAGACCAGAGGTTTTCTAAATGTAAGGCAGGCCTCCCCGGGGAGATTCCACACAGCTTCAAGGGAGGATTGGTGAATGGAGGTGAGGAAATATTACATTACTTATTGTCAAAAGAATAACGTGAATGTTTTTGATGTGGATAAAGAGCTCGTGCAAGTTAGTTCTGGGGGAAATTGACTGTTTTTCAGTTTCAAAGACAGATACCTTAGGATAGTCCATTTGTGTATTTAGTGTGGTCTATTGAGGAGATATTTGAAACAACACTGTATGGGACTGAACAAATAATCACAAAAATACTTGCAACATGGGCTTTTTTTCATCTAATCAATGTGTATGGGCTAAGTATTTTCTTCTTCAACCCACTGCGTCTGTTCTTTCATCAATTCTCTTATTAGGAATGATCTCTTCCAATGACGTTCACAGAAGCAGCCAGGGAGCTTCAGCATCACCAGAGGATGAAGATCTTTGAGCTCATCTCGCACAAAAACGTTTACTATAGTGGGATTTCTAGTCAGACAAAGTACGGGCTCTCTGACATATCTTTATCAATTTGTCCCCCTCTATAAAGGTAATTGGCAGTAGGTTGATTTACCCCTCAAAAAGCAGAGGGGAGGCCAAACTGAAAGCAACAGGTGGCTCGTTTCTTTCTAAATGAATTGATCAAACCTTCGGAAAGTGCAGTGAGGTCCGTCCTTGCCCTGCTGCTGAATGAGCGGCACAAACGCTGCGTTCCCCGTAACAACCCTCACCGCTTACCTCCACACCCGCAGCCAGCAGAAGCAGCCCGGTCGACCACAAACAGCTCCCAGTCATCTCGGACGCAAACAAAGTCTATTTAATTTCAACGCGCTGACAGACGGCTCTGGACTGGCCGCTCTCTGTCCCGGTCCGTCCGCTCCCAGGCAGACACACAGAGCTCCGCTCTCAGCTCCCCTCTCCGCGCTCCGGGTTCCGTTTCCACTGAGAGGGAAAAAAAAGGTAAAAGTCAGCCAAGAGAGGACGCACAAAACATGACACTTCTCGGTCGCTTCCAGGTATTTTTGTTTCCCCCCCCCCCTTGCACACACGTTGCTGCTAAATTTATGTTTGCATACCAGACGTGCGTCAGGAAGAGGGGCTCACCCACCTTACATTCTTAAAGAAACACACTCCCGGCCCGCTGCGCGCAGCGGGGAACACGCACGCCAAAGTCACAGGGATGCTGCTTTGTTTAGTCACAAATGCGTTATGGTTCACTCTCATCCTAATGGATGGATCCACTGACTGATATAAGCATTGACACAAAGGGCTGTTTTTTTCCAACCTGAAGCACTTGTCTGTGCCCATGAGTGCATGTTTTTACTGGAGCAGAAAAAGCCTGGACCAGTTAGGACAGGACACACAGACACAAAGCTCATAGGGTGGCTTTTGAATACACTAAGACTGAGACAAAAGCTTTCTGCCAGGGCTTAAAATTACATACAGAAAGGAAAACTCTCCTGACTGGTCACTAATGATTAAACTGTCCACAAAAGACAGAAATTCTCGGATTTAGGGGCCAGTTTGGGCTCATTTGGATATGCGAGATTAAAGTCTGGAAAGGCTGGTCTGAACTCTGATCCACTCCTGCACCCATAAAGAATTGTGATAAGTGCATTATAATAAAAACCAACAGCTCACATGGTTAGAATAGTTTTTTTCATCATTGGAGTCTTGATGGTAAAACAATATAGGAGAGCTAAATGTCCTGCCTTTAATACTACAACAAAAAGACAGAGACTTTCAAAAGGTTTAGCTGAAACTTGGACCATGTGTTGTCAACTCAGAACCAGCTGAGGACTGTGCCTACTTTTCACAGATTTAAGATTTAGTCACAAGTATGAAATGCATTAGTCTTTCAAGTTAGGCATCCATGGCTGCCAACCATGAGCCATTTAAGGTCAAGAGGAGTATTATCTGAATCAGGCTCTGACTGCTTGTGAACTGAGATCAACTGAATGGAATGAAACATTCATACCCTTGGCCTTTACTGGCACGTGATTGAAAACCAAATTTGTTTCTGATTTTCTTTGATGAGGTCCATGTCACTCTTTTTTCTAAAAAGTAAGAAAAACATCCCTTTTGTTTTGATGTGAATCTTTTTTTTTGTGCAAGTCAACATTAGTCTGATGTGTCCTTGGACTTGGATGCCACTACTCCTAATTTTAGGTTCAGATTAGAGTCAAATAATATTAGTCTTAACAGATCTGAATATAGCAGATGAACCAGCGCTAGGTAACTTAACAGCTTTTATCGATTAAAAAAAAGGCTACAGGACAGTTGACCTCAGGGGTTTATTTTTCAGCAGCTCCAGTTTGATCCCATAACTTCACCAAACTGACAGACATTACATTCTTTGAGGCTTCACCCACAGAGGCAGTGCGTTAGGACTTCCTTGTCTGTGTTGAAACCGTCCAGGTCATTGGAATGACAATGTTTCCACAAAATGTCATCTGTCCACCGCTAAGCTGAGGGCAGGGGGAGATGCCCATCGAGGGCCAAATAAATATTGCTCAGGTATGTGTGGCATGAACTACCTGAATTGCTGCCTGTCACGGAAGCTTGATTTCAGCTCCATCTCTGTTAACACACCAAACGCAAGAATGTAAACGTTTGCCTCCTCAGGAAAAGGAGAAAGCTTCACCTGAAATAGAAGGGGTTGAAATTATTTCCTGTACGTCTCGTGTCCGGGTAAAAATGATCATCCTCGGTGGCCTACCTGCTTGTGACAGTTGCTCTGAGCAGACCAGTGTCTTTGAAAGACGATCGACTCCGGAAGTTTCTTGTTGAACTTTGACCAGCCCCCGGCACCCTGAGAGCAGCACAGACACCCCACTAAGTCAGAGCAAGCTGTAGGTTATGCTTCGAGACATGAATAGTTTGCATTCACTATGACTGGCAGTGCATAGCTAAGCTCCGTCCTCATGTTACAAACGTTATTCTTATTGATGGACAAGCTCTGTGGGATCACTTGCTCAGAGCTCCAAGCAGCAGAGTTACAAAATAACTGCCCTAGGCTCTAAAATGTATTTTTAGGGACTCAACTAGCTTAAATAGCATGTGTCAAGTCTTTACTCAACAGATCTGATTGGATTTTTGCGCCAAAGGAGACAAATAAGAGGTCAAAGCATCAGCTAATTGCAGTCTTTAAAGGGAACTTGTTTACATGGAGTGAAGGGCTGAAAGCTCAGTGAGAGATTTGGTCACTTACTGGTTCAGTTTTTATTGATGTTGACAACCACTGTTCATTTCTGAGTTACATAACTTCCTCTGGAAATTTCTAACTGAAAACATCCTATCTTCACAGGGCCTTTTCCTTATTTGCAAGCAGCAGTCCTTCATTTGCAGAGTTCAAGACATCTTCTGAGAAGAGTCTGAAGGAAAAATATTTGGGCGTTTATAAAACTTTAAAAATGCATCACCTGATCTTTACTGGAGAAAATTCTAAGAAAATTCCGCCGGACAATGGACTTACCAGAACCGCACCAAAAATAAAATGAAATACTAGTCTCGGTCAGAATTATGAAAAGAACCTCTGTCGTTTTCGCCTTTATGTGAGCTGTTGCACATATAGCAACTCACTGTAACAGAAAGTGGCCAAAACTTTTTCTATATGTTCTTCCTGTGCAGTTTGAATGCATGAATAGCAAAGACACAAGTATGGCTTTACATGTGCAAAACGGGCCCATGTTATGTACAGTACATGTGTTGGTTTCTAAGCTAAACATGCTCAGCGCAGGTCAGCACTCCCTGTATGAGTAACCTAGTTGTCTCGCTTAAACTGACACCAAACATGGCTGTTTGATCGGTGATATTGGGCCTCAGACTCAAAGAGCTGCTTGTCACATGTGTTCAAAGAGGGGGCAGGGATTTGCCAGATACCATGTAAAGAAATGTCCTTCACGGGACACGACACAGCTTGTTTTTGCACCAAAGAGGCAGCTAATGGGTTCTGAAAAAGTAAACAAAGTAAGGAGCAAATGTTTGTATTTCAGAAGTTTTAATCTAAATTCCTCTTCCCCCCTGTCCCCTGTGCTGTCATTTGAAGTCTCAGGTTTTCTCCCTCACTGTAACGCTTTCACATCTAACAGTATCTGAAGAGCGTTTCTCAGTAAACTGACCAGAGGTTTTCTTCTGACTCAGAGCAACAAAATATAGCCCAAGTAGCCTGTTTTTACGTTATTACAGTTCAAAACAGCTCAAAACAGCTCTGAATCCCTGATCACTGAAAAAAGAGCCACAAACTGACTTGAAGATGTCTGTCTCTGTCTCGCTTTGATGGAGCACAGCTTTGTTCTGTGTGTTGTTTTTTCCTAAGAGCACATTTAGGAAACCTTTTCAGAAGAACTTCACAACTTTTATACATGTTCAATCTGTGTTAAACTACCTATGTTATCGCAAGTACAAATGTGTTTAGTGGGGATTAAAAGCCCCACATCTTCTTTTGCTTTCTTTCATATTTTACCTCAAAACTGTATCTGATTTTTAATAGCTATGGCACATCAAATGACTGGGACTGTATAATTGAGTACAGAGCTGAATGTGTTCAAATTCAAATTCATTTTATTACATGGGCCAAAAAAAATTAAAGAAATTATCCTTATTCTCGCTCATTTCAGATTCTAAAATTAACAGTTTCTCTGGGCTTCTAAACTTAAAAAAAAATTTATCAAAAGCTGTGCAAACAGAAATCATGAATGAAGGAGGGTGGTCTGAGTCTTATCAGCTGACTTTGGAAAAACTTGAGTTGGAATATTTTTGTTCAAATTCTGAACAGCTCTTGCGACATAAACTCCTCCAACTGTTGTTGTGGCAGCTCATTACAGTTTAAAATCCCTCCCTGCTTGCAGCTCAGTGCCACTTGCTTGCCTTTCTCATCTATCCTGATTGCCTTTACGGCTCTGTGGAATTTGGCACGCCATCTATATGTGTGTGTTTGTACGTGTGGTTGCTCATGCTTGAGACTCCGAGGGAAAGGCAAGCTCCTGCCATTGCGGGGCCTTCATGTCTCGGGATGCCAGGCTCGCTAAGGGTACAGTCACTTGTCTGTCTGTCAGCGCAGATCCGTTTCAGCTGCAGGCATCGCTTTCTTTCGGGTATGTCACATCGACTGCTCACAAACTGTCAAACGTAGACAGCAAGACACTCTTTCACACTGTTGCCAATGATCAGTCAGCTTGTCTGAGGGCCCGGGAGTATTTTTTTTATTCTAAAAAAGTATGAAATTACAGACAAAGCCCAGCTTACAACCAAAGCCAATATGCTGTCGAAACGAACATTCTTTTTTCTTTTTTTTTTTGCTATAATAGAGATGAATAAGTTTGGATCAACTTCAGTAAGGTTCGTACTAAACAAATCCAGAATATCCTGGGACCTGACAGCATAAACCCAGATAAAGAATCTGCCTGTCAAGTTTCACATGAAGAAAATCACACAGGTAGAAAAGTACAGACACAGAATCAGAAAATAACATTAGTGTGTTTCAGTAAATCTAATGCATGATGGTTTTTGGCATGTGGATCGGATTTATTAGTTATATTTTGAATCTACATTCTGTACAGCATTTCAATTTTTATTTTTTTGGAAAAAGGTTAATAAATGCAGATCCAAAATTATTTTTATGGAATCTTTTTTTTTAAACTTTCTACTAAACCTGGATTTAACTCATTTTCTCTGGTCCTTTGGTCAAACAAAGAGTTCTCAATTACAGATCACAGATTGATGACAACATTTTCCTCTGTTTAATCCAATCACATTAGTTAGACTATACTTACAGAGCAGTTAGGCAGGTGCTCCGATGGGCTTTTCGTCTAGCTATCGTTCAGTTATTGTGTTAGTAGATCACAGTCCACAATGACGCATTTCTTTTATTTCCTGGAATATGAGGGAGAGAAAAGTGGTTCATGGATGTGGCAAACACGGAGGGTCAGGCAACAGTTCAATCTTGCAAAGCGACCTCACAGGGAATGCTGCTCTGCCAGAGTGGTTGCTGTGTCCAGAGTCCTGGCTGCCCATGCAGACCACCTGAACAGAGATCTGTTTGAGTGCATGTCTTAAGTCGACAACAGACAGTAGGCATGTAAAAGATGGACAAAGAGACAGGCAAATGACCAACAGTTTGGCCTGTCTGTCAGCTGTCACCTCGTTCCCATTACCACTTCTCTTATGTAAGACTTGTTTCTTTGGTTTCTTTAAACTCCTACATGCCCCAGGTACTGTTTTGGAGGCCAGCTGACAGAGGAACTGCAGAGGAAAATCCTTCAGAGAAAGCAGCAATGAAGTAAGGGCCTTTTTCCCACGTTGTTCTTGGCTCCTTTCCGCCCCTGAAGACTTAAGCGAACACTTCCAAAACAAAGAGATTGTCTGTGTAGGTGCCCAAATAGTCAACCCACGCATGTACGCACACTTGCACAAAGACAGAGACACACTCACACTGGGACCAAAAAAAAAATGTTGCTTAAAACTCTTCAAAGTGGCTTTTAAAGCAGTTGTTTTCTGTAAACACTGGTTCAGGCAGTGCAGCTTGGACGTTTGGATTGCAATCATTCTCAGTTGTGTTAGAATTAGTGCGACCGGCAGCAGTTGTCCAGAAAGTAAAGCTGCGAATGGCAGCACCTATGCCAGCACAAACAGCCGACCTGCTAATCCCAGCACGGCTCTGTGAAAATGCTGTGTGATGGGATGTTGTTGAAACATCGCAGGGTCATGTGGGACGGTGTTAGAGCAACACAAGGGTGAGCTTTCTGTAGTCATTGTCTGACCTGCAATATGACCCAGTCAAAGTATGTGCTCTGTGACAGGCTCAGCAGTCGTATCTGGGCCTCACAGGTCAGCAACGGGTGTGATGCGCTTCCAGTTCTGTCCTAAAAAGACATCTTTGTTCCTCTCTGAGAAAAGGATGATTGAGAATCATCATTATAGGGGGAGCGGGGTCAGGGTGTGGCCTCACAGGAGTACTGACGGTCAGTACACTGACCCGTTCGCACACTTTTAACCTTGTACAGTCATAGACTTATTCTTACCAACAGAGGGAAATGTAGAGGATTGTCTCAGCTAATGAGCAGGACTCATTAGTTGAGGATTACTTCTGACAGGTGCACAGAGCCCAGCCTAATATTACTCTTGTCTAAAGTCTAGATTGTTTTTGTAAATCTGCAACGCTGCCCTACTAAACCCACACCGTCTCCACTGTACCATTGTTTATCAAAGGCTGAAGTAATGGATATTTCAAGAGGGCAGGCATCATCTTGTTAAGAAGTCATTTGTTTCTGCATGCACAACATTCATAGCCCAAAGCTTTGAGTGGAGAAGAATAATAGAGCCGCAGACTCACAAAAGCTTGTGTTGCTATTTTAGTCAAAGGTGTTGAAATTGTGGTGGAAATCCCATTTAACGGTAGGACCAAAACCGGCCCTTGGTCCAGATAACAGTCAGACAGTTGATAACAGCAGATCTTTATGTGTGTTTCCTTTTGTTGTTCCAGTTTTATCTTCGATTTGGCCACATTATGCTCCCATGCTCCAATCTTGATTTATGCAAAACAAGTTATTTTCAACACGACTCAGCACAGGCAGATAAAAATAGAAATAGACTTTATGTTCCTTGTGTTTGGTAAAAGACTGCTATTCAGTATCAACTGTGGTGGATTATAGGGCTGCTTACGGTAAAATGGTAAGTTCAAGAAAACTAATGAAATGATGACAAAGGATAGTGTGAATTAAATTAGACTAATGGAAAAAAGGGGTTTTGCAGTAAATAGTTTAGAAAATTAAAGAGAAAAATATCTTAACATCTTACAGTTGGTCAGGGATAAGAACTGTAGTGAACATCTCTGTGTTTTAACCATTAAAAAAACTGTTTACCATCCATTTCATGCCAAAATAGTTGTTCTGAAAAAGCCTATTGGGATGACATCTGCTGACTGCAAATGCCAAAACATATGATTCATATTAGTTTCGTTCTGACATTCACTGAACTGGGGGAATTGTCAGCGTGGAAGAGAAGGATCGTTTAAATATGATGTTCTATCACAGTATAAATAGTGCAGGAGTAAGTTTTAAAAAGCACCATGTTTCTCATTCACAGAGACACCGCGGCAGCACTTCTTGTTGTGTATTTGACTCCAAATGCAGTGGAGAATGTTTTCGCTGCGGTCACATGCAGATGAACATATCAGGGCCAATATGGAGCTCAGTGTGGCCCAATGACACCTCAACACTTGGGTCCACAAGGGACCGACCTGCCAGCCCTCCAGCTGGAGGCCGACCGCATTAACAGCTGAGGCATGGTCAACACTCACGGAAACTGAACCCACTCCTCTCTTAAAGGAGACAACTGGATGGAAACCATGCCAGCAAAACACTCCTCGGAGCATAATGGGACCACCAGATCCACATGCTGTGAATTCTGGTTCTGAGTGTGACAACCATCAGGATAGCGGGTGACCACAGCACCGTGCGAGGAGCCGTGTAACAAGCCGTAACTTTAGAGTATAAAGTTCACTGATGCATACCAAAGACATGTCACTTTCTACTCTCCTCCCTTCTGATCTTAAGAGCTTGAAAGGACAGCCACTGTGCTGCTCTCTATCTAATCCTGTCTGCACTCTTTCCTGGGGCAGCATCTCTGCCGGTGTGTGATCCTGAGGTGTGACACTTTCCCAGTAGCCCACAGGTATCCGTTACCCAGCTAGGAGCCTTGGCCCTCTGCCCACTGGCCTGCCTGTCGCAGAGGGCACAATAGAATGAGACATCTCCAATCCCCTACTGACAGACTGTGTGCCCTCCATGCCAGCTCCACGACAGCAGGCCCACGCAAGAATAGGTGAGCTTCCACCACTGATCTTTCTTTTCCTGTCAGCAGTCTTTTCGAGGAGAGAGGGAAGAGTGGCCTGACTTGAGCTGTATCATTTTTTACCATCAGCATGCTCTGCCCAATCAAAAAAAAATAAATAAACATATATTCTATGAAGAAATCATTTCCACCTAGACCCTCTGATGTAAGACTGCCTTTAGTGATATGTGTCCATCAAAAGTCTTTTAAATTTGGTACAAACTTTGTTCACACTGGCGCCATCAAGTGGATTTTATCTGTAAATACAATGAAGATGGACAAGTAAACTTAAGAGAAATATGGTCCTCAGAACATGCAGAGACTGCAACATGAACCATCATTTCAGCTCAGGGGTGAGTTGATAACATGAGTTGTGGCCTCTTTTAAGGGAGGAAAAACTGTTGTGTTCCAGCAATTTTGCAGATCCACTTTAAGAATTCTCAATCTTGCATTTTTCATAGGGAGAGGACACTTTTTTCATAATCTCTTTGTATTTTATTGGACATAATATTTTCTTTTTAATTTCCCTCACTGGGGGGGATAAATAAAGATTTGTTCAACTCTTTTATTATATCCATATTGTCATAATCTTTCCTGAGAGGGCAAACATGACTGCCCCTTCTCCCCTCATCTGCTGCACAGTAACTCTGCCTGCTGATTTGGAGGTCAGGTGAGGACATTGAACCACAGTTACCGAAATAAGGCATTTTCGATCATGTTTACCCAAGGTGGAAAGTCAGAGAGCAGCACCTGCAGCCTGTCCATTCAGCTTAAATAAACTGTGACTGGAACAAATTTTTGTGTGGAGCTGGATTTTACAGCCTCATACCTCATAAACTCAGTAAATATGGAACTGCTGGTTGCTTCATCAAAGTGATAAGGAAATCTAACTATCTCTACTACTTGTAGACCACAGTACTACGAAGAAGTTTAGTCCCCTGCTTTCATTTTATGTAAATGGTAACTATCCATTTTCAAATCCAATGAATTTATGAAGCATTTAACATAAGCAAGCTTTCTTAAAATTCTTTGATTCAGTTTAAAGAAAAGGGAAAATAATAAAATTTCCTTGCAAAACTATAAGTATAGTTCTAACAGTAGTTAGAACAAGTTCTTAAAAAAAGCATTTTCTTCGACAGAATGGTGAAAGCAGGGGGCTGGAAAAGTCACAGCAGCACCCAGAGCTGTTTTCCCAAATCAAACAGAGGGTGAACTGGAGCACATCTCGTGATCAACCTGAATAGAATTTTTCTGGCTGTACTGAGCATAGGAGACAAAGAGGGGCTGAAATATTCCAAAATGTTAACAAAGACTTTGCATTCTTCTGTGTCTTGGACCTCTACTAATTTAACATGATTCTGTAAATAATGTTCATGTTTGAATCTCACCTTTTAGTGTTAAACAAGTGTTGGGAAGCTTTATCCCTCTGACAGAACGATGCTTTAACGATCCAAAACAGTGTTTTGATGACATTAACATTATAACAGAGGTAGTACAAGTCAAGCTAATGAGCATCCATCTGAACTTTCATCCACAAAATGTTCTACTTTCTTCTAAGCTCGATGTGAGTTTTGCGTCACTTTGATATGTTGTTAAGTAATTAAACATTAGACCTATGACCACTGAAGACAAGTACTCTAGACTTCATCCCACCAGCCTGATGAGTCATGTGGTTGCTCTTTGATTCACGTAAAGCCTGATCACCGCAATGAGCAGAATACGTGTCCAATAAAACATGATCTGATCAATGTCCAGCACAACGTGGAGTCTGCGTGCATGTAAGAGAATGGGCCTTAAATGTAGTACGTTCTGGATTAAATGTTAATCATTTATACAATATTTTCAGATTTGAAACTTTTTCAGTTAATCAGACCCAACTTAAAACATTTATCCTGGATCTTGTTTACACATAGCCTGAGCAGCTGTGGTTTACTGCGGCCAACATTCTCATAAGAGGATCCAGGACCATGGCATCTGAGCCAAAAGGAAAATCTACGCGATCTTGCTCATCTAGTCATAATGTGTCTCAACCAGGCTGTACTGACAACACATGCAAAAATTGTAAAATAAAATCATTGACACAGAGCAAAAAAATTTTTGAAAATCTCTCATATTAAAGCACTGGCACAACTATTCAGCTGGGCCTGTGGACAACTGGTCACTTTTTTGTTGTGTTGCAAAGCATTCAGAAGACACTGGTTCTTTTTAGTAATGTGGGCTAGCATACTGTAGGGAATTTAAGATGTCAAAAGGCTTGTGCTGTTTTTCTCCTAGAGCCTCCTAGTAGTTCAGAACAGCTTATGCTAATAACTCAAAATCTCTCATTAACAAGAGATGGAAGAAATCTAAATGCTTTCCTTATGTAATAGCACTGCAAATACTGCAAACTTAAATAACAATGTTACAACTAAAAGACAGTTTATTAACATAGAAAATATCCATCCATACATTTTCATAAATGCTTATTCACAATTGGGGTCGTGGGGGGACTGCAGCCTAACCCAGTAGTCAATGGGCGAGAGGCGGGGTACACCCTGGATGGTCCACCAGTCCATCGCAGGGCCACACAGAGACACACAAGGAGAAACAACAACACACGAGGACAAATAACCACGCTCACTCACTTTTAAGCGGCTTCTAAGTGGTAATTTGGAATGTCCAATCAACCTAACATGCAGGTTTTTGGACGGTTTGAGGAAGCCGGTGAACCCGGAGATAACCCACGCAGACACAGGGAGAACATGCAAACTCCACACAGAAAGGTCCTGGTTACATAGAAATATCATAGAAAATATTTGAATATAAGTTATAAAAATGGACACAATTTGAAGTCTACTCTATCTGTTATGGATTTAATTTTCTTAGTTGTTCAGTTAGAAAAAACGAATTAAATTCTGAATATATCTCAATCTGCTCATCTCCACCATTTTCAAAGCTTATTATTAGATATTAAAAACTACAAATGGATTCATATATTAGATATACCTGTTTATAGTTGCACTTGTTACCAGTATGAACTCATTGTGTGTTCATAAGTTAGTCAAGGTTTAACTACACAGTAAATTGCAAGGATGCCACTACCGGATATTTTACATCATTATCTCACTTATTACTTTCAGTAATAACTCAGCCATTCGGTGCTTAAAGCCAAATGTGACAAAGCCCTTTCAGTTGGTGCCTTTGGACTCTGGAACCTTCTGTCATTGAACATTAAGTCCTGCCTGTGCATGTTTCAGACTGAAATAATCATCTTACTGCCTTTTGCTTTTAAAAGTACTTAGCTTTAAGGTTATCCATATCACTATAAACATTTTTTAAACTATAATAAGCAAGTTTAAAAAAAAAAAAATACTGGTAGCCTACACTTCATCCATCACACGTAAAATGAAACTGTAACTGATTCTGAGACAATACGTTCAATATTATGCTGTTTCGCAATAAACACCATTTTAATAGGAATTTATGATTTTATTTTTTATCTCCCTCATTTGCAAACACTTTGGGTGGAACTGTTAAAGTCTGCCAACAGATATACAAGGAAAGGCAACGACAAAAAACACTAACATGCAAATACTCCCTGAAAAAAGTTACGGACAGGCACACCAAAGTTAGACAAGAGGGCAACAGTGTTGGGTAGATTATAGCTACTAACACAGTCACTTTCAAGTTTGAAGGCAATTCAAATATTGCTATTTTGACTCGGATAAAAGGAAACGGCATGAAATCAGTGTACTGTAATGTATTCGTCCGCGTGACGGCTTATTTCAGAGGAAATCCCCGTCGACACTCACCGCTTTTTTACCTTTGCCCTAGATGAGACAGGAGTGTCAATAACGTCATAACACTACGTTACATCTCGCGATAATTCAAGGTATATATTCAACACCCGGCGTTCCCTCGAACCATCAGTTCACAGTTGACAGTTTGGACGTTGCTTCATATCACTTGGTGAGTAACATTTTTCCTTTAAAGAAAGAGGTAGCCGTGGCTGTCGTCTCTAAGATTTTAATCAGACGTACGTTCTTGTTTTTATAACGCGTTTATAACGAGGAGCTGCGGTATTACGGAAGTAGCAGCCTCTTTATCAGCTGTTTTTGTGTACTTCAGGAAAAAGTCCAATCAGTGTTTAAAAGATGAGTTTTATCTTCCTTTTTAGGGTTTTATGATCTGAAATGGCAGCAGCTGAAGTTATCGCAAATCAGGTAAGTTAAGTTCAGACTTCAGGGTTACATTATTAGTCTTTTGGCTGCCGGGCGGTGGGGTCTTAGTTAAAACTTGTCACAACTAAAGGATTTCCTTCATAAGGCATCAACTTTTTTAGATTATAAGTTTTTCACAGTACCCTGATCTTTGTATTTACTTACAGAATGTGGTGGAGAGGGTGACCAGCCTACCTCTGGTGAGCTCCACCTACAGTTTGGTGTTCAACGTGTATTCCAACACCAAAGACAACCATCCCTACATCAGGACGGTGTGTGAGGCTGCGGAGCAGGGCGTTCGCACCATCACCTCTGTGGCCCTCACCACTGCTTCACCCATCATCGGCAAGCTGGAACCACAGAGTAAGAGACTGACTTGGTCAGATGACTTTTTAAAAAGCCTAAGTCAACATTTTGCAGAGGATTAAGGGAGGAAAAAGAATCCAGAAGCACTTAAAGTGTGAGAATAAATGGGAGCAGGCAGACTGAGTCACACAGCCAGGCAGAGCTCTAAACTGGAAGTTCAGGCAACCTTAACCTCTGACTCATCTTGATCTTTGTCCCAGTTATGAAATAGACAGATTGAAAAAAAAGGGGCTTGTTGCTCTCCTCAGATTAATATTTATTTGATCAAACTCTTCCATCCTCCAGAGATTACACATGAATTGGCATTCATCTTTCAAGTTGTTTTTCAATACTCTTACACAATAATCTTATTTTTTTTGTTTCTTTTACCCTGCAGTTGCCATTGCCAATGACCTGGTCTGTAAAGGTTTGGACAGGATTGAGAAAACTTTGCCAATTCTCCATCAGCCTTCGCAGCAGGTATGGAATTAAGCCAAATTGCACAATTCTTCTATGGACAAATGACCCATGTCCTGTCTTTCACAACTACTGATTTCACCCAGACTTCACATTCAGACGTGCTGTAATTGTCTAAAAGCGTTTTTTTTTTGTCTGGCCAGATTGTTTCCAGTGCCAAAGATGTTGTGACCAACGCCAAAGATGCGGTGACAGGCACAGTGTCTGGTGCCAAAGACACGGTCTCCGGCACTCTGAGCAGCGTTGTGGAGAAAACCCGAGGCGCGGTGCAGGACGGGATGGAGAAGACCAAAGCTGTCGTCAGTGGGAGTGTGAGCACAGTGCTGGAAAGCAGAGTTGTGCAATTGGTCAGCACTGGGGTGGACACAGCCCTCAGCACATCCGAGAGCCTCGTGGAGCAGTACCTTCCCCTGTCACAGGATGAGCTGGGTGAGCAGGCAGAGAAAGCAATTTCATGATATGGAAATGGACATTAGGCCTGCTACAATGTCAGGGTTTTGTAGAAATGTAGCATCACTATTACTTAAAAATATGAATGCCAAAAAGAAGTTTAAGTTTTTTTGCCTCTTTTAGTTTTTCATTTGGAAAAAAAGAGCTACTGACCTTTAGCTTGCTTGTAACAAGCTGTGTGGCTCTGGGTCAGGTCTTAAGTACTGGAATTGTTCCAGCTTCTGTAAACCAGGATGTTTCAGATTAGGGATTTTCTTGAAAATGAACTTAAATAAAAAGACAATTTCCCCCTCAGATACATTAGTAACTGCTAAATTGAACCTAAGTGAGCTAAATCTCACACTAAAACAGTGTCCTATGCTATATCATTGTAAATTAAACTGTTTATGTGGGGACGAGTAATTGTCTTTTATGCAAAATATACTTTTCCAGAAATCAAAAACATGTAGATTTTCATGGCCAAAACCATCAATTTCAAAGTCACTAACTGGATTTGTTGCAATGTGGTTTGGCCTAATTTTTTATTGGACTTTTTTTTCTTCTCTTCCTTGTGACAGAGCTGGAGGCTAAAGCTGTGAAAGGCTTCGACAATAAAGAGCCCAGCTATTATGTCCGCCTGGGTTGCCTTTCTACAAAGCTCAGAAAGAGAGCTTACATCAGAGCCGTGGCCAGAATACGAGATGGCAAGCAGCGCATTACTGAACTCAACTCTACTGTTGATCTGGTAAAAAAACAAAACATCGGCAGACACTTGAAAGCCCTTCACATTACAAAGGGGACCATTTTATATTTGCCTCTAAATGCAAAAACATATTTGAATGTTTGTTTTCCAGATTGAATATGGCAGGAAAAACTTAGATGGGGCTAACCAGATTGTGAACCACAAGTTACAGTCCTTGGTGTCATGGGGGTCCAGTGGCCCTACACAGGAGAATGGACACCAGGCTGAGGTGACCATCACAAACGGGCAATGAAGACGCACATCCATGTTTCCATGCATTTGTTGACCGTATGTTTATGTGTCGATCCCCTCCTTTAGGAGATAGAGTCTCGCACTTTGAACCTCGCGCGTTCCCTCACACAGCAGCTCCAGACAACCTGCCTGGTCCTGGTCTCCGGCCTGCAGGGGCTGCCCAACAACATCCAGCAGGAGGCGCTCTCCCTCAGCCACTCGGCCGCACAGGTCTACAGCAGCTTCAGCAAAGCCAGGGTCCTGGGAGACCTGCCCGACCAGGCGTTGGTCACCAGCAAAATGCAGCTGGGCAAAATGAGAGAGTCCCTGGACAACGTCATGGATTACCTGGTCAACAACACGCCACTCAACTGGCTGGTGGGGCCCTTCTACCCCCGGATGGGTCCCGAGAAGAGTCACAGATCATCTGCGGCCAGCCCACAATCGGCACTGCCAAGCCCTCCTGTCATCCAGCCACAAGCCGAGAACATGGAAGTGGAGATGGTGTCTCTTCAATGCCAGCAGCAGTCCACTCTAACTCTGCATTACGAGTCTCACTAATCTGCTCTGTGAGCCGAAGCAGCGAATGCTTCATATGCTGTAAACCTTTGTAGTGTGGCAAAGTAATCATGACTAGAATTCTTGGCTTTATTATATTAGCTAAATATGTGACTTTTTAGCTCATTGTTTTGGTAATACAGAAAGCAGCTCATGTGACTAAACTTAAATGTGTGTTTACTTCTACATAAACTTTACTGGCTCTCTAAACTTTGTAATTAATGACTCCTCCATCCAGGCTGGCAGAAAATATTTGAAAAAGTATGAACATAAAACATTCTGAAAAAAACTGAAACTGCAGTGACTAAGACTAAAGGCTTGGTGACACTGTTTTAACAGACTCAAAAGTTAAATCAAATAAAAATGTGTTAAAAGCACACTGACTACTACACTCATGCTACAGACCAAACGCACACTAAACTACACAATATAGACCTGACACTAGAGTATTAGCAGTATGCTTTATTATGGTTTTAAAAAAGACACAGACAGCACTACATTTACAATAGTTAAGTTAAAGTTAATTCATTTTTATGTTTATAAAAAGAAGATGAAGTCTGACTGTACAAACAACCAGTCAGAGTGGAGGGTTTTAGTCATCGCTGGCAGCGGCTTCGCCGTGAAAGATAATCCATCAGAGTCTGAAAGTTCAGTTCAGAAGAAGAATCTAAGTATATCTTACAAACACTTGCAAGCCATCATTTTTGGTATTGTAGCTAAATGGAAGTTTTCCTTTACCGTCAGCTTCTGAATTTGGCACCATGCAACATCATCAAGCAAATCGAAGTTGATTTCATCCTTGGTTTCCTCTGAGAAACTCACCATCTACATAGAATAAACAGTTAACTTTCAAATTACATCTAGGTGCTGTTGCCATGAAAATATGATCTGAAATCGAAATAGGGAAACTGAATTTAGCTATTTCATTGCATTAAATATTATATCGTTTTAAAATCCTACAAAAATGTCCTTACCTCGTGCCATTATGTCTAATGTATGATGACAGCTATTATTGCAAGGTACATTTAATTTGTTTTTGGTTTGATACCATTTCTAAAAAAACAAAACACGCGACTTATTGTGGAACTACTGGTACCTGTCCCTGTGCCGTGGTCACCGTGATGTGTGCAGCAGACCCGGCAACTGAACAGTGCAGGTCACCCGCAGACAGGACCGACCTGGGACAGGGCAAAAGTTCACATCCGAGCTTCAGAACTCTGACATCAACATCTCTGAATCAGATCCACGTTTGCGCCACTGTTAGCGGCACACCTGAGTTTAGGAGCCTTCTGGTTTGGCGTGGCTTGGATGGACGTGTTACGACTTGTCAGACGGCTTCGAGTCCTTTTTATTGCCATGGAAGAAACCCTGAAAACAAAAAAAAACCCTAATGGGACCCACGCAAGGCCTTACAACGCCACTTAAATGTATCATCTTACGTCAGATTTCCAGTGCTGTTACTGCCAGCTAACAACCTCGTCGTTTTTGTCCCACTTCCTCCCTAAAATACAGTCACAATAGACAGTAAAAATATTGACATCATCCTGTTGCAAACATTACAGTGATGAATGAGAGAAGCGAGCAGTGGTAGGGAAATGTGCAGACTTCAGCTACCTTTGAGCTTTTGGACCTCTGGGCTGAGGTGGAGGAGACTGGAGGGGATTCAGTTGATTTTACTTCAACAGTGAAAAGAACAGATTTTTTTTAGTGACACGATTTGAAAGATTTTCAGCTCAGCCTTCACCTTAAAAACAAAACAACAACGTTCCATTACCTTTTCCAACGGGTGCTCGCCTGAGGGACTGGGACATTTCACGGGACTCGCTCTGGAAAGGTTAACCATTACCTCTCTTCACCAGGAAGTGTGTACCGGCATTTTCGAATGAACTCACCCTCATGGCTATGGACACGTCACTGGCAGATATTTCCTCCTCTAACAAAGAAAGCCCAGCAGCGAATAAATGAGAATGACCATCATCTGCAGCCCATGCGATGCGCGCGCGTGCCAAAGGCCCTCACCGCTGATCACATCCCCTATGAGCGTTTTCTGGAGGGACGGGGGCATCTTCATCAGCTCCACTTTAAACACTTTGTCCACTGTGGCCAACTGGTTCTCCATTTTGGCCTCCAACTCGTTCATGCGTTCTTGCGCTTAAAGACAAATATCTGCGGCGTTCAAGAGCAAAGTGGGTGATGTGATTGTGTTATTCGACGCAGCCGAAGAGCTACCTTCTTTCTCAAACTGCTGAATGAAGAGAGCCAGTCTGCTCTGTCGCATGTCCCGACTCAACTGCTCTTTGGTGTGGATGCTGCCGCCTGTCTGCTGCCGCCTCAACGGCATCTTGAGGTCCAGACTGAGGGACACAAAACGAAGAGGACAAACTTGTGTCGACAGAAGACCTGATGGAGGGGCCTCAGCTCTAAGGCGCACCTGTCACTCAAGCTCGCTTGATTAATGGATTCATGCCCTTCGCCATCCGGTTGTGATGCGGTCAATTTAGGGCCGTGTTGTTTGGCGGAAGGATACTGCTAGGACAAAATAATCGAAATGTTTACTATCCTATCTCCAATCATTGTCATTGTAAATTATATTAATATATACAATAGTTTCGATATAAATCAAACATTGAAAACTAAAGGTTTTAAGTTGGGCGTAGATGAGCTGGTGTTATATTCTTTTTTTTAGGTTTGGCCTACTGCTACTCTGTAAAGGCTAGGTTTAGCTCAAGTATCATAAACCAGCAAAGACATTGGTTAAGGTAAAGTGCTGGGTTCCACTTGAAATGTAACTTTGACAGCTACACATTTTGATTGAAACTTCTTTGGTAATCTTCTGTAGTCAACATTCAGAGTATTCATTCACAAACACAAAAATATTTGACAAAAAACAAACAACTGACACATTTTGTTTTCAATCAGTTCACAAACTCATTTATTGCAGCACACCTCAGTACAGACATTCATTTCCTTTCCACAGGATGGTAAGAGATAATTTCATCTACTATTTAAAAAAAACTGATGTATTTTCTGTACAACCAAGGAGATCAAATTTACAAAGTCAGTACAAGATGGAATTCCTTCAGACAGATTAAAAGGGAAGAAGGGGTTGTTAGTCATAAAAAAAGTTAACATCACCTGCTACCCCAATAGTACAAAAATAAATAATTGAGAATTTCTTTTTGATTTTAGGAGGAACATTTAAGGTGTTAAATGTTCAGATGTGGTTTTATCTTCTCTTTACCCTGGATTAAGGTCAGGTTTATAATGACACAGTGCAAGTGAACTATTTTACATTATTTCATCTGTACAAGTCAATCTCCCAAATCTACAGATAGTTTAATCTATGCCTATTTCCCAATAGTTAATCACAGCTCTTTCCTGTTGTACTGTCTGTGGGAGGATTTAGTGGAATGTCATGTTGAAGTTGAAGACTGTCTTTTGTCACACAGTATCAGCAGTACTGATAGGGCTCTTTGCCGTGGAGAAGCTGTAGCTGCTAACACAATAGTTTAAATATACTGGGTTAACCTTACATGGCCATCCACTTTATGCTTTTTGTTAATACTTCAAAACATCTTTCTGGTTCATTTTGAGCTAGATTAAGGAAAAACCCAAGTACATGTAAGTTCTGTGGTATCTAAATAAGGGATGTTAACTTAACAAGTACAGTATGTTACGCTTTTTAAAAAGTAAAGCGCTGTTTCTTAAAGCACGAGTCAGACTTGTGACTATAAACATGAAACTACACCGTGCTGCTACTGTTTGTCTCCTATATAGTTGTTGAAATCAGTAGTGTGGCACTCCTATATATATTTTTTCCCTCTAATAATCTCTGCCTATTATGTGGTTGAGTGTTGCTTCACAAGTCAATACTTATGTAAGACCTGCTTTGATCACAGGCCATCTGGAATGTGTGAATCCATTTGAGGGATTGATTAGGGATTGTCTATGGTGTCTGTACCCTCCTGAGTTACTGCCAGCATGTAGCCACACAAACAGAGCCCCCCTCCCCAACATCAGCCTGTATATTTACACTGCAACTACTTGAGCATTCATTAAGACTGTGATTACATAAGAGTCAATTCACTGAGATGTGCTGCCTGAGAAAAAAAAAGCCATTTCTTGTTTTGAATTTCCCACTAGAATGAAAAATATTTACAAAAAGACACTAAATGTTGTTAATTTTTTCTTCTACGTTAGAAAGTGCACACGGGAACAGTGGGTCTGTGCTCTCAACCAACACATGCCAATCTGATTTGGGAGCCGTTAGGAGAGACTAAAGGTAAATGGGACAAGGCAGGAACTCATTCTGTGATTATACACACGGGTACCCGGAAAGGGAAGTCAATATATTCTGTTAGAAATCATTCTATACACCATATGTAAAAAAAAAAACAACCAAAAAAACAGCAAAGGGGAAAAAAGCAGCTCATCTAGTCCCATAATATTCATAGGAACTCTCCAAAAAGGTGGACAAAAAAGTACCATGTTTAGCAACTGGAAGTGTTTCAAAAGTACACTCCTCTTTTCCACCTGTCATTGCGGGGAGAATTTCTTCTTGCTCAACTGGAGGAGAAAACCATGCTCAGATTAAGGGGGCTCCAAAACATTTGAGGCACCACTGCATGCTGGGGCTGGGCGGGTGATCGATTGAGTGCAAAGATTTGAGCTGCTCTGCGCTCAGCTCATCAAAGGCCTGGCGGTACTCCCTGTCGAAGGCCTCTGCAGTTCAAGAAAGAACAAAAAAAAAAAAAGGACATATTTTTACCCAATTTACTGACATTTTCTAAAACTAGTTTTGCAACTGACTTTAAAAATATCTCTCAAATCAGGTGAAGAATCGCATTTTGAAAATGTCACTTACCTATGTCAATATTATCACGTCCCAAGGCCACCAATGACAAAAACAGTATTTCTCTGTAAATACTCCTAAAAATAAACAAAAAACATCATGTCACTGGGATTCTATATGTGCAGTAGCAAAACATTCCACCAACACACATCACTGTCTATGTTAGAGTAAAGGGTACATCAGGCGAAGAGGACGAGCAGACCTGTGCCTTTTGACGCCTCCTGGGCGTCGTTTAATCTCTCGGATCAGCAGGTTGATCGGTCCGTAGACGTCATTAGTCTGGATGTTGCGAACAATGGTATTGAGGAGGGTACGGACATCCTGGTGTTCTGTGGGAGCCAAAGTCCCCTTCTTCTCCACTAGAATGAGATAGCATGTCATTTTTAGACTTTTGGAAAGTAGAGTCAACTCTGACCTCTCCTGGCCACAAGTGATACGGAAACTAAAGAGTTCATTTCAATGGGGTCTTTGTATGAAACTCACAAAAGGTACGCCAGAGCAGGTATAGGGGTTCTCCAGGATCCTGGTGCAGGTTGATGTTGTCCCAAAGGAGCTGTATGAACACCTGCTTGCTGTCCTGACTCAGTGACGTCAGAGGCAGCTGTAAAGAAAAACCCTTTGTTTGATACTGCCCTGGATTCGACAGCGACATTTACGTGTAAAAGTGTCCGATTTTAAAAAGGTCTAATAATACTGAAGAGCGGATGGAATGTAATAATTAAACAGAGACAATAAAGAAATATGGAGAGCCTGTGTTTAACCTGCACTCCATTGTTGCAGTGTTCAGAGGTAAGAATGAGACCGGGTAGGTGAGTGGGCAGGTCCAGGCGGCGGAAGTACCACACCAGGTTCCAGAAAATAATTGGATGTTGGCTTAAGAACTTGTGAGTGTAGATCACCTTGGCACACAGAGATCAGACATTTGACCTTAAAGATCTTGTGTGTGGCACACACAGACAATGTAAAGCCGGCTATGAGAAACTGTGTTTACCTGATCTCCCTCGTTCTCCAACAAGGTCTCCAGCTCTTTGCGCAGAACCAATGGGCTGAGGTATGGAACAGATACAGGCTTGGGATTTGGCCGTTTTGTTCCAATACCATCCTTTGAGGAAAGAAACTCAGCATTAAGTTCCAATAAAGGAGGTAAAAAACCAGACATGTGCTTTATAACAACAGTGATAGAAACTGACCGACGCCTCTTGCAAGCTGCAGGGCAAACTGGTGGTGGACACACCGTGTCCGGGTCTCTGGGTGTGATCCAGGCTCTGAAGAGGACCTCCAACACTGTTGCTGCGTGTCAGTGAGGTACTGCTACATCTCTCCTGCTTCCCTGCTGCTTGGTGCTCCAGAAGACCAAGGGGGTCTGACTGCACTGGCTCTGGAATCAGACTGGAAACGCAACAGGCAAAGAGGTGTCAGGAGGAGGCGCATGTTGCATGATTCAGATAATCCAAAGATGTGGTACCTCCTTTGTGCTCCAGAATGATTATCTGGAGTATCGCTTGGCTCCTCCTCAGGGAAACTGATAAGATCTTGTGTTTTGATGTCAGCTGAGCTGCTAGCTTTGGGCTGAGTGCTGGTGCTGTGAATACTGTCTCCTGAAGCACTAGGATTCATGTAAAACCTGAGAGGGGAAATTGATAGGATATGATCAGTTTGTAGCTTTTATTGTTTGTCTTTTTCTGCTCTTCAAACAGATTCCTACCCGGGCATAGTACGCAAATCGTGAAACTCTATGTGCAGTAATGGAAGGAAGGCTGTGTGACAGAAGGGGCAGTTGGTGTTGAGGTTGGAGTCATCAGCTGTCCAGCCTGACATGATCCCCTCATCATACACCAGGGCTTCACATGAGCGGCACTGGGAGCAGCTGGACATCAGCACCTATTGTTGAGGGAACACAGTCCACCAGGTAGAAATTACCCCTAGTCTACAAGGAGGAAATGACGAAACAGCAGTTGTGAACTGGGTGTTTCTGTGTGTTGGACCTCCAGAGCGCAGTTCTGGTAGATGCTTGAGGAGGATGCGTGATGGGAGGAGCTTTGCTCAGAGTCTGGACCTCTCCCTGCCCGGCCTGGAGTTGGATCTGCAGCCCGAGACGAAACAGAAATCACGGTCTACAGACTTCAGCAGTAGTTCTTTTAAGGCCTGCATTTTCATGGCCTTCTTATGTTTCATGACGCAAGCTAGTACATACGCATGTGTTGGGTCCCCCTGCCAGTGTCACTGCTGCCACTGCTGCTGCCCAGGCTGGTGCAGCTCTGATTGAGACCATTAGCGAGCAACCCCGGGATGGCCTTCCTCTCCGGACTCTCATCCAAGTCGTGTGCAGAAAGCATGTGCTCATCCAGATTAGCTGGGAAGCCTCCACCACTCTGAGGTTGTTCATCCTGTTGACAAAAGTTAGAATTTACATAAAATGACTTTTGTTCAGATACAATGAAATCCAGGTAAAGATGGGGCTCCATGTGAAGCTATGAAGAGATGATGGACAGAAGGTTTGATCGGTTTGAAACTTACCTCATCGTCAGAATTAGCATAAACTAATGCCATGGCCCCCCACACTTTGCTTGCTACGTTTGCTGCCTGCTTCATGCTTGACTTGAGTACATCGATTTTAGGTCCTGACAACAGTGTGTCCATTTTGATGCCTGAAATTGTGTTTATAACAGAGCCCAGTGACCCTCCCTGTGAGGACTTCACCAAGGCTGTCAGTGAGGACGATCTTGTGCCTGGACTTGCGGTTGAGCTTCCGTGTGTCTTTGTCTTTGCTGCAAAGGTTTTGGATCTAGTGACGGTGCTGGGGCTGGGTTTTGGTGTGTCTCCTGGTGAGCTACTGGCAGTTTTGGCTGGAGGTGCTGGCAGGCTTGACCGCCGTTCCAGGGTCTGCTTGGGCTGAGGGCTGTCGGTGGAGTCTCCCTGGGACTGCTGGAGCTCCATGCTGGAGGACTTTGGACCCATGGGACTTCTTAGACTCATATACATTTCAATCTCCTCGGCCAGGTTACGGGACACCACAGCAGGCACAGAGATCAAAGGCTCCTGACTGGTGACAGAAGCCGACTCTTTGCTCTCGGACACCAGGAGGGAGAGTGGGTCGGCTCCCACCTCTACATCTGCCCTCTCCAAGGCAGCCCCTCGTATTCCAGACTCATCCTCTGTATTCGTTTCTGTGTGTTTCCTGTCTCTCTTCTCCACCTCAGCTTCTGCCACCTTGTTTTCTTCTCCTTTACCTTCGTGTGGGGTATTTGAGGTCTCTTCCTCTGACAACTTCTTAACTGAAAAACCCTTATCATCCTCAGACTCCTCCTCCAGGTCTTCAAAAAGTGCTCTGGACACAGTGCTAGGGGGTGGACTTTGTGCTCCAGAGAGCACGGCAGCCAGAATACGAGCATCTGCCCCCATTTGGCTGGCCATGTGGTCCACGCCTTTCTCCAAGAGCATCCCAGCACGGCTTTCAGCGCTGAAGCTACAGCTGCGTTCAGAGAAGGCCTTCTGTCGCTGCTGCTGGTGCTGCTTTGCTGCATCCCCAGAAGGCAGCGAGGGATCCTCATCTGACAGAGACACGCTATCATTCTTGCTGTGTCTCCTGAACAGCTTCCCTGTCCCTAAAGAATGTACACGAAAGGTAAAAAATCTTTATTTTTCCCAAACAAAACATTTAAACCGTCATTCAATCTTTACACTGAATATAAATAAAGGTTTGATTTCTCTCTCACCTTTGTCCTTGCTACTATCAAAGCTTCCAGTGGAGAGCTTAACAATGCTGGGGACAGGGGACGGGACATCAACAGGACTGGGGGGTTCAGCCACTGCTACTGCACTGTCAACTGAGCCAACAATTTCTCCTAATGGTCACAGAAAGAGATTATAGTTGGAGGATTCATGCCATGCTTAAGCATTTGAAAGTTAGCAGAAATAACAGCTTTTACCATGATGCTGTGCAGTAGCAATACTTGAAGGGGCAGATGCATGAGAAGACTCTGCCAGCTCTTGGTGTAACTCATCTTTAGAGCCATAGCCTTGATCCGACTGCCGCCCTATCAAATACAAATCACTTAGCTAAAATAATGCAGGTTTTAGAGTGTGATTCTCGTAGTGTTGGCGAATCATTACCTGTATTACAGTGGCTGTCTGTTGTGTCCCCCATGTCGTGGCTGGGAGCGAATAGATTATGTTCCTCACCATTGACCTCACTTGAGCTGTCAGCACTTTCGTGACTCAAACTGTCAGCATCAGTGACTGCTGACCCATCTGCTGATGCAGCTAGCGGAGGCCAGAGGAGGAAGAATGTGTGTAAAAAGATAAAGAAAACATAGAGATAGCAAACTTGAAGAAACTCATTGTTTCCACACCTGTGGAAGTTAACGTGGATCCCTTCTTGGAAGACATGTAGCTCTGAGTCTGTTTGAACTGGACCACTCCACGAAGCACGTTGCGTAACTTGGTCCACATAAAAAGGCCGCTGCGGTTTCGGCTCGGCCACGGGCTCTCCAAGACGGCCTGTCGAGAAGAGATGACATTTTTGGCTATAAGAAGGCACCTAAATCAGCATGACAAAAATCATTTTACACAAGCGCTATAAACCTTGTTGTAGTATCCATATGTGATTGCATTGGGATGTACGCCAGCCTTCTTCATCTCAACCAGGACACGCACAGCCATGACAGGAAGACCCCACACACCACAGAGCTGCATCACCACTCTGTAACACACCTGATAAACAAACACAGAAATCATTTAGATTCTTTAAATTTACATTTAAAGTAGCATAAGAAGGTGAAAAAAACAACAAAAAAAACAATGTTGTAGAATCTTTCACATGTGTGGCCACTGTACCTCATCCAGAACCTCCACCTCAGTGGTCCTCATCTTTAACAGGACATTGTACGCCTGCTGCATGGCCCGGCTCTTTGACTTGGCCAGTCGCATCGCTGAAGGCAGGCAGATGAACCACAGGCTATAGCAGTGACTGAACAGACAGCGGGCCCACAGCAGAGGATTGGAATAGAAACGCTTTGCCAGCTTGTATGCTAGCTTTATTTCCTGTTGAATCAGATAATGTTTGTAGAATTCTGGTTAAAGAGGATATAGTTCCATACTGTGACTTTATGGTAAAAAGAGAACAACTTAAATGGTAACATCCCTATTTCTGCTCATTCAAAATGTGTAAAAATATACTTGCCTGCTTAGTTCTTTTAGCCAACAGGGCTGGGCTGCTGGACAGACTGGCCCCTGCAGCTCTGCTGCTAAGTGCAGGACGCAACTCTTTGGGACGGTCAAAAAGATTCATCTGTAGTCTGGGGAAACCTTTATAACTGGAGAAAAATAAGATTGTCAATATATTGAATGACTGCAAACATTATTCCTCCATTAAATAAGTCTGGATAAACTACATCTGAGGAAGGCTTACGTGTACTGAGGAGCGGGTTCGGCTCCAGTGTCAGCTGGAGGTTCAGGAGGCATAACAAAGACAGTGTGTTCACTCTTCTGAGACTCATCCAGCTCCAGCAATTTAGTGTCCTCAGATGACTCTCCTTCAACCTGTAGCAAGAACCAAATCCACAGCCAAGGAAGTGAACCATAGAAGAAAGAAAAAACATTTAAATCAACAAGTGATTTCCCGTCTGGAAGAATGTAAACATCTACAGGCATCTGCTAAGCTCTTCACGTCAGTAATACATGCATGTTTGATTTTGGTTAGCAGTTAAAGACAGGAAGGAGGGAAATGTCAATGCTGCTTGCTGATCACATTTATGAAAAGGGAGAAATTTAGCATGCCTTTTTCTTTACAATTAGCTGAGAGAGAAAAAAGCTGCAAAAAATTGATTACAGTGTCAACAATTACCTTGGTACCTTTGTCGGTGATTTTATCAGAGGGAAAAAGCTGCAAGAACAGGAAAGAGAGCAAAGGCAGAAGAATGAATCAGAGGAAATGTTGGCTTCCTTAGTCCATCCCAGCGTACAGATGTTAATTTGCCAATAAACCACCATAAAACAAACCATTGTTCCTGGAAGGAAACCTCCAGGGGAAGAGAAATACAAAAGAGGAAAGCCTGACACTGGCTGACAATCACCTTCTCAATACAGTCATCAAAAAAGGCCAGGCCTGTATCCTTGTCGCTGACAAAGGTGCACTCCTCGATAAAGCGGATGAATATCTGAGTCTTGGTGAGCTGGGAGTAGAACTTCTGATGGGCACGGTCTCTACTCTTCAGAAAACCTGAAGGAGGATAAGGAGGCATGTTAGTGTATTTCTGACACCCGAGGGATGGACAATTACTCAAATGGGTGGAAAGAATGGAGGATCGACCTCTCAAGTCTGGATGTGTCTGCCCCTCTCTAAAAACCAGCAAACCGATTGACTTGTGGGATTATTGCTAAAAAAAAAATAGTTTGGGAACTGCAAGTCAATTTCCCAACAACAAGCATTAATAAACTCTTATTATTGTAAATGAGAAAGATGATTGATTCATCAGACATATGACATCCCTCTTGAAATAGAAGCCCTTAGAGAAGTCGATATCACCTTATTATTCCAGTAAATTATGCATAAGCATCAAATCCAGGAAGTCATTTACAAGTCCTTGGCATAGCATGAATCGTAATGATGATGACCGACATCAGACAAACGACTGGTTGTCATGAAAACACACATTAACACATTCAGTGATTTGTTCACCTTGCAGATCATAGAGGGAGTCTGCAGCTGTGGCCTTTTCGGAGGGCGCCTCAATGATTGGTTTGAGGTAGGATCGGTAACCCTTCAGAATGGAGGCCATGAAACGAAGGAAGGCCTCTTGAATTTCCATCTCCAGGGTCATCTTTTTCTTGTGCCAAGTGAAGTCTGCCTCGATGGGGGTCAAGTCCAGCGCAGAGTCCTCCTGTGGTGTTTGGCGTACTAAAACTGAAACACAGACCAAGCGTATCATGCTTTAGGGCTTTCCTTTTCCTTCGGTGCAATGGAAAAATACAACCTTGGGGGAAAAAAAGGCCATGCAGCTTGTAAAAAATCTCCAGAAATACAACGCACAGCTTTGTAGCAATAAGGGCTAAATTCTCTGCCACACTGGTCACTGGTCTCTACATGTTACGATCAACTCATTTGCGGGTAAAATCATCAACTACATGGCTGTCAACATGTTATATATATCATTCCTGAATTTTATAATCCCCTTTTGCTTTAGTGCCTATTCTTTTGAATAACTGCTGTCACATGGAGAGTGAGGAGGTGCTGTTCGTACCAGTAGCCAGCTGGTGGTGCAAGTTGCTCAGCGAGTTCATAAGACTCTTGCAGGGCTTCTTTGGGAGGTTCTTCCAGTTGCCGTGTCTCTTCTCATCAGACCTATGACATGCAATTCCACAAATGTAGTCAGCTGGAAGTAACAGGAGAGCTGCACAACCACAGCCTGAAATGGGCTCTTGATAAAACAAATGTGTTGAAGCCCTATTCAAAATGTTCAAAATTGTACAAGCTGCAGGTTTTCAGTTAAATCTTTATAACATACAGGTAAATAGTGTTTGTGTCCAGGTCCACACAGACAACATCTGCCGGGGGGTCATATAGGTCGAAGTAACGAGAGTCCACACCAACTATGAAAGGACAGGGGGCATTGAGGACACCCGCCAGAGAGAGTGGGCATAGAGGTATGTAGGGACACTGCCACTGGAAGGGGAAGATCATCTGAAATTGAGACAAAAAGAAATGAGGATCAATACCACCAAGCAGTGAGGAAGGTTTTCACATCACAGACTCTACAACAAGAGTTCCTGGGCTGTCATATCCTAATCTTAAAAAATGCTTTAAATGAGTAAACCACAGTAGTGAGTGATACTTAGTATCCCATTTTACTAAATGCTTTAAACTAGGACAGTACTTCTATCAAATGTTTTAATCAAATTTGGGAAATAACAATAGCAATAATAAATCCATGAGCAATACTTTGTAAAGATTAAATTATCTTCTTCATGGTAACTGATTTATAACAGCTGTGTTTTTTTGCAGGTTGTGAAATTCTGTGAGTTAAAGGAGACAGTGCACAGCTACAACCCTGGAGCTGGACAAAAAAAACAAAACAACAAAACTCAATGAAAAACTAGTTAAAGTTCAAAGACTACAGCACTGCTGAGTGGCCTGCAGTATTGCCAGTGGCAATGCTGCAGAGACCCTATTTTTACTAAGATTATATTTGCACCAAGATGTGATGACAAGATGTAAAGGCAGAATGATTAATGTAACTGTATAATTACACAGTGCTATTAATAGTATACTCCATCTTTACTAGATTTGTGAAACAAACATTCCAGTAACTATTGCAAATATTTTAGAGTAAAAGTTATTTTTCAAAAATATTTCACTCGTATGCAAAACTTCTATTCAAACATTAAGTGACACAGAATAAGAAGTATGGATAGAAAATGTTGATCTTTGTGTTCAGAGAAAATTAAACTGGGATTTGGCTGACTTACAGTTACTTACAGTTCCTTGCTTTTTGTCATGTGGGCACTAGATACTAATTTCAGACAAAACTTGAAAGGTGAATCCGTTTCAAAACATAAATACATTTCCTGTCCTCTCTCTGTAAGTTTGTTTGAATAGCGCAATAGTCTTTACCATTCATTCTGTATTTCTTCGAGAAACTCATTCAAATCTTGTCTGTCTGTTCAGAGTGCCCAGGGGGATATTTTACATGTTTAAATTTAGTTTGAAATATACAAAAATAAATAAATCCCAAAACCTGGACATGGCAAAGTGGGCGTGAACAAAGTCAGCTTTTAGACGGGCAGGGAGACATTTGCTATGGATTTACACGTGTGTTGGCGTCTACTCACAGCCACTACAGCCTCGGCCACTCCAGTGAGCACGGCGGGGCGCAGAGAGTGCAGCAGAATCTTGCTCTCCAGCAGGACAAAGTGCAGCAGAGTGGCACAATTCTCTGAGCCCAGATTCATCAGCAGAGTGCCGTAGTCAGCCCCACTGACAAGGGAGAGAAGAAGAAGGAATGAATTCAGGCAGCAAAAAGAAAACAAAATAGAGAAGGAAGACAAACATGAAGGGTGGTAAAAAAGAAAGAAGAAAATAAAAGATATTAAATAAAAATATTTTTAATAAAGGTTTAACCAAAAACCGTAAATAGTCACTTGTGGTGACATACATTAGTATTTATTGTTGACTGAACAACCCTGCAATTTTGTTTTAATATACTGTTTCTGTGTTTTATATTTTCATATTTCAGACACCACAAGACATTATAATTGTGACCCAGGATTGATTTCCTCTCCTGTACTATGTTTGTTTTATCTTTGTCATCATAGTCAAAGTCAACAACAACAGTGGGTCACAAGGGCAGTATATACCAGCTCAACAAAAGTCTGTCAGTCTCCATTATTGTGAGGTAAGAAAGTTACGTAAGGGAGCAGTGAGAGGCACAAAGAGGACAGAGAGGCACAAGCTAAACCGTTAACATCAGCGGCAGAGCAGCAAAACAGAGAAACTGTGGTGGAGTCTTTCAATGACACAATCCAGCTTTGAAAAAAGTAGATAAATCTATATCCATCACAATTACCATATATATATAGCTGATTGTAAAATTCTAAATCACTGAATGAGATGGTGAATATTTTGCATTTCAAATAAGAATGATTTTCAAAACAAAAGATGGATAAAATGTCAATTACCCTCAGTAATAACACAAGAACACAAAGAGACAATGCAACATGGCCAAGGACACATTGTGTTCTATGATTTGCAGGATTTCACGATACAACTGGAAGTTTACAGTGAGAGGGTCAAATATCACTGAAACTACAAGGTAACAGTGGCAGAAAATGAAAAAAAACAACAACAATTTCTACTAAGAAATCTCATAAATACAATAGCTGTGGTTTCATACTTCTACTACTCTGTGGTTGTTTTCCAAGTATTCTGCTTAAAATAAAAGTACCTGAGGGGTAAGGGTGTGCACACAGGCTGGGAGAGGATCAAAGTGTCATGTGCTGAGAGCTGCAGGGGAAATGAATAGAGAGAGAGAGAAATCATAAAAACATATCTATATATGTAGATGTATCAAAAAATAAAAAAGGCAACTTCTTCCAAATGAACCATCCATAATATGTGAAATAGATAAGCAAATAAAAGGATATCACCTTCAAAGTTGCAAATAAACCAAAAACAAAACAACAACTCACATTTACTACTGAAGAACAACAAATATCTTGATTGACCTGGTATTATCAAGGTAAATTCAGGAAAGCTTTGTAAGGGTCTCAGGACTAAACTATAGAAAATTAGACCGTAGTCCTGTAAGACAGGAATGGCCCTGAGACTGGGGACTCGGGCTAAAAATATGTGCAATAAACAGGTTTTTCCAGAGCTACTTCTCATACTCTGCTACAGAATAAAACCTAACTTTCAAACTGAATTGCATGAGCTTACAGATATCAGTACCATTCAATTAGTCTCTACTGCAAAAGACAAAAATAAGCAGCAGGTTTGTTTCTCGATTAGACATCATTGGAAATGCAGCCTATGGTCTGCGGACAGCGACGTGTGTTTACCAAGAGCAGCCTGAATGTAAAAAAATTGACTGTGAGAATGGCCGAAGGTTTTCTGCATCTTTGCGCTTGAAACTGGGCAGATTTGGGAATTTTTCTATTAAGATGGTAATGTTGGTGGATGGATTTGGGAAGAATAAGATCTCTCCATGATGGCTCAGATTAAATGAGATGATGTCTCTTTGTAGATTCTATTATTAGAGTAATAAACGGCCATCACGAGCTGCAAGGCAGTTCAACTGAATGAAGAAAAAAACTGAAAGATGTTAACACACCAGCTAGATATCTGAAAAAAAAATCTAAATTCATGTGCCTAAAAAACACTACCTGAAACATGAAATGAATAAAAACACTACAGGGTAAGAATTATTGGCCTATTGGTGGACTGTGATGATAAATACACACCTGGACAAGAATTCTGGGTCTTTGAGGAGAAGGAAATGACACATTGTGCATAAAGTGTGAAATGTGCCTGTAAAAAACAAAAAAAAGTGTCAATTACAAATATATAGCAACTAGATTAAACTTATTAACAAGAACAATGAGATCTGCGTAGATGTGGTAGCAAATTAAGTGGATTCCTACTTTTCAATAGGCAGTGGGTGTGGGCCTGAAACAGAGAGCTTGTAGATAAACATGAGGAACTTTCGAAAGGACTCGAAGAAGGGCCAGTGTGAGAGCAGACAGATGCATTTGTTGGTGTTTACAGGCCGGTTGGGGATCATCTTCTTTTCCACCGTGGTGAGCAGGCCCAGCTGGATCTTCTGCTTCTCATTCAGATGATCCACTAGATATGGCTCGTAGAACTGGATAGCAGACCCATACACCTGGCACCAAAGAAGTAGTTTTTGTGTGTTACTTTTTAGCTTTTGGCCTTCTAAACTAGTTTGGTTTATACTTTTATCAGAATGACCGTTTGTTTCAGGTTGGTGTGTCACCTTTTCACCAGAAGAGACTGTTAACACAAATGTAGAGAACACTGGCAGTGGGTCACGAGTGTTTGGGGCCCAGCATTCGATCTTGGCACCCATGGGTAAACAGAAGAGCGGAACAGACTCAGAGAGGGGAAAAGACTCATAGTCCTCTTCTGGATAACGGAAGATGAGACCTGCAAAACAGCAGAAACCACAATAGGCAAGTTAAACTCCCACAATACCTAGATGCTATTATATAGAAGAAGTTTTGCAGGTTAGTTTCAAAATTCTAAATATTTCTTTGGATGCCACCAGACTGTATTCTGGTATTAGTTTCAGGGGAGAACTGCTTAGTTCAACTTCATGTTGGGTGAGATGGGATTATGATTAGGCTGACAAATTCTTAAGTCGACATGCACATACATGCGCGCACACAAACGGACCTGCGGGCACGCAGATTATGGGCGTGGCAGGAAGTGCTGTTGTCTTAGATGAATATACAGTCGTCTCACAGGAAAAAGGCTGCCCAGAAGATAAAGGCTTTCTGCATACGTTTGTGTGTGTGTGTGTGTGTGTGTGTGTGTGTGTGTGTGTGTGTGT